TAAATAAATTTTATTTAAATTTTATTTAAAATTTAAAATTTATTAAGGCCCAACAATCTGACATCAAAAACTTTAGGTAAAATATTATAATAGGTTAATATAAAGAGAGCCAGGTTGGTGTAGTGGTTAAGGCACCAGGATAGAAACTGGGAGACCATGAGTTCTAGTCCTGCCTTAGGCACAAAGCCAAGAAAACTGCAGGGACTTGTCCAGGCAGTCACCAGGAGTCAACAATTACTTGAAGGCAAGAGAGAGAGAAAGAGAGAGAGAATGTGATATAATGAGTTGAATCTAATGGTGGTCTTCTTCAAGTAGACCACTCTTTTGAGAGCCAGAGAATTAGTGATCCAGATCCACAAAAGTTCAAATAGCACAAGTTATTTCCCAATAACTCTGTATTAGAGTTTAATGCCATTCCTGATAACTGTATATAACTATACTGTACAAATTCTTCTACTAGCTTGCAAAATAATTAATGAAATGTCATTTCTCCGCCAGCTCACAACTCTGATCACAGATCTAAGCCAAATGGTATGAATTATGTAAAGTTTTAATAAAAGCAACTTTCAAAAATCTGAAACAGTAAATGAGTTTTCAGATAATTTGAAGAGTATTAATTCTTCATATGAATAATAAAATTACCAGTTCAGATAAAGTAGCTGTTCCATTAATCACAAAACATTTTTTTATGGTGTCAAATGCAATATAATACCAAGCCATCTGTCGTCCAGTTTCTGAGGAAAAAATAAATATATAAAACAAATATTTTTAATAAGTGAAATATAGAAGACAATTTTTCTACTTGAATAACGAATTTAAATTACAAGAAGACATATTCTGATTGAATGTTAGGAAAAAACCCTTTTTAACAGTAAGTCCCGTTCTTCATTAGAAACAATTATCTAGAGAGGTGGGAGGCTCCCCTTCACTGGATGGGTTCAGATAGAGGCTAGACAGCCATTGGTTTGGGATGCTTTATTTTGGATTCTTGTATTGAGCAGAAGATTGGACTTAATGGCCTAAAGGAATCTTCCAACTCTATTATTCCATGATACAGATTTTAACTCAAGAGGGCTTTTTAGTATTTTTAGCTACTCATCTTTATAGAATGAGAACATCATACCATAAATTAGATTTAACAACAAAATATGGTTTATTCTATTAATTGGCATTCTAATTACATGTTCAGTATTCATTTCAAGGACAAGATATTATTACTATTTACAAACATTTAAGAGATATGTGTTCATGAGTTTTCCACGCTCCCAAGTAAGCATGAAAGGACTGGAAGAATTCTTCTATGGCACAGAGCTTTGAGAAATACTGCCACCTCTGTTTGCTCTGGCCTATAATCATGCCTTTCTACAAATCTGGAAAGGACCATTTGTTTCTTTTGGTTGTCCATTGGCTAATTTTATGGTTGAATTCCACGATCTTCAGAAGAAATGTGAATATCAATGGGATTTTTCCATAGGAAAATGAGTCTAGATGCTTCTCTTTCATACATATATACAGTGACTTAAAGTCTCAAGCTTCTGCAGTCATTATCCAAATTCTCCTAGTTCATGCTTGTAATACAGATATCTTATCAAGAAACTGCTCTTAATTTATGGAATGCTCTAAGGTAAGGAAGAGTAAAGTTTTGTAACTGTGGTGGGCCACAGATAACACTTTTCTGAGACTGAGAGTTGCAGTGAGTGGTACCATGATACACAGAACCATGACACCATAAATGTGGCTACAGTTACATTTTTTCTGATTTATATTTTCTACTGGATTTTAAAAAAAAATACTGTTAAGCCTATTTTAAGGCTGATATTACAATTTTCAGGTGTTTACTGAAAATGGCAAAAACTACACTGTCAATTTTCAGTCATCATGGAAAGAAAGAACTCTGGACACATAAAAGGCAGACTTGAGGGCTGTATGAAGTCTTACAATTGCAGATTTTCCTAGGAGACAGCCTTTATGAGGATGATGCATGCCCCAGAAAACATTTTAAATATTAAAAAATTAAATCTGAACATTCATATAATACAGGTTATATAATATTACCTGTGGGCTTGAAATGGAGATTATCATCCATCTTGATCAAATCAAGTGATGACAAATTATTCAGATTCTTCAAACACAGTTCTATCCAAGTTGAAGTGATAATTGTTTGACATGTGGGAAAAAAATAATTTTTGCAGATAGGAAAAGCAGAAAATTTATCTATTTGTTGTGACAGGGAAACCCCCATTCAACTCAGGCAAGGCAAGCCCTTCCATCCCCCACATTCACTCACCCAAGATTGATAGCTATTTCCCAGACATATAATCAACTTCTTCATTTGAGTGCCCATGCAATGGCTATGAACATGTGAGCAGACAAGAAAAACAAGCTTAGACTTGCCCTGATAAGACAAACAGGATTCTTGGTGAGTTTAAAGTAGCTTCACATAAAAGTGGGGAGGAATAAACTTGTCCAGACTTGCTGAAAAGGTTGTCCTCAGCCCCACCTTTGCTTGGAAAAAAGCTTTGTCTTGGGTCAAGGGGGAACAGCATAAAGAGATGATAGAAAGTGGATCTTCTGGGAAAAGACCAAAAAGGAAGAACACCTGCAACAGGGAGAAGATGTAAGCAAGATGAAGATTGGAAATGGCCACATGGTCCTGGTGAGTTAGTTTCCAAGAGAAGCGGGAAGCTAAGCAATGCTGAGGTAGGAGGAATCATACTAGGGGCAGAGCTGAACTTTGGAGGTGAGAGTAGGTATGGCTTGGAGCCAAAAACATCTTTGGGGGCAGAGAAATTGGGTTGCTTTATGCAGGAAGGCAGAGATTGTAGGTGAAGGAGATGGATTCTGGAGCCCATGGTAAGAGCAGAGCTATCTGTCTCTGGGCTGGAGGGAAGAAAAGGCATTGTATTGTGATCCAAAAACCTCTAGGGAATCAACAGAAGCTAAGAGGAAGTGCTCCTACAACTTTGACTGGAGGTTTCAGTCTATGGGCATGGGGGATTATTCAGCCTGGAGAAGTGAGCTGGGGGAAAATGCTTCCTCTCAGAGGTAAAGTAAAAGTTCTAGGTCAGGACCTGTGTTCAGATTTTTTTTTTTCCAGGCACGCTAGTCTGCTTTATAGATTTTAATAGTTGGAAAGTGTTAATTAATTGTTTCATGGAATTTGCCTGAGTTTTGTATCAGAAGTTTATTCTCCTTATGCAAATGCTGTGTTATTGTATTGTACTATATGTTTTATTCCACTGAAGCTATTTGAAACTCAGATCCTATATATCACAATGTCAAGTCCTCCCTTAGTATTCAGTCACAGATGGATATTTAGAATGTTGTTTGTATTTTTATCAGTGCTAAGTGCCCTATTCCATCCCATTGTTATTGTTTGAGCACTTGGCTACAGAAGCTAAAGAACAATTCTCATTTGTTATTTTTAATAAAACTTATTTTTATAAGTTATATGCTTTTGTTTTCATCTCCTCAAAAGGAGACAAGACTGCTATTCCCTGACCACATGCCTTAGAGTTATTAGGACCAAACTTGGTTTTCCTTAATAATGATTCCCTGGTTACAGGTAAGTTGCTCAGGCTGTGAGAGCCCCATCACTGTTGTAAGCTGGTGTTAAGGAGGAGGAACTTGGTCAATATATTTCCTTTCTTCAGGAAAATCAGTGGTGGCAGTAGAAATACAACCCAATCCATAACCAGAATGGCTGAAAGGTGTGGCCAAGAGGGATGAGTTTCCTTCCTCCACAGTTAGCTAAACACTACGTTAATTGTTCAACTAAAGTTAATAATTTTAAATTCCATTCAATCTGATTGAATAGATGATGACAGATCTTCCAAAGATAAAACATCTATCATGAAAAGGAGAATCAATTTTATTAGGGTTATTGAATGTTACTGGCATGTTGTAAGAGCCAGTGTGGACTAGGACCAGGAGTACCTAGGTTCAAATCCTTAGCTGTGGAAGTTCACTAGATATGACAGTTACTCTCTCAGCCCAACCTATCCCACAGGATTTTATTGTAGGAAAAATAAGGGACAGAGTGCTATGTATGCTATGTGTGCTTCTCTAAGCTCCTGAAGAAAAAGCTGGATATAACTAACAAATAACCAAAGGAATTGGTAGAACGAATATTAACACAAGTACTAGGATGTGAGGCAGAATGATTAAACAGATTTAATGTATTAAGTTAAAGCCTATTTAAATACATTGTTTTTTTTCTGTTTTCAAGAAAGCTGAAAAACATCTGACCTTGTAATTTTGCTTCAATTCCATTTCTGTCCAGTCCAGTTGAAAACCCTTGGTTAAAAAAAATACATTTGATCATTAATGCTTAGTTTGTAAAATAACAAGTTGCATCTCTTTTCCTATAGAAACCTATGCAAAGTTTTGCAATCAACAGATTTGTATATTAAGCACACAATTTACTATGTGACACAAAAGGATGCCTATAGAGATTTATAAATTAATTATTAATTTTAACTGTAAATATTTTCTAAGTTTAAACACAAAAAACACACATTATACAATTTGGGCTTTTATTTATGTATTTATGTATAATTTATTGATCCAATGTATATGGCCGCCTATCTATCGAGGAAACTCTGGGTGGAAAAAAAAGAAAAACAGAAAATTACATTTAAAAAAAACACCAATTAAAACTGCATTGAGGCTCAGGCATGCCAAAGCTCCCAAACTAACACCTGGGGGAGGAGCCAGGTCGTTACAGCCTTGCAAAAGGCCAATAGAGTAGGGAGTCCGCATTTCAAGGGGAAAGCTGTTTCACAGAAGGAATGCTTCCATGCTCATTTTGCCAGATATTTTTTTATTTATTGTAAACATAAGTAATCATAACAGAAGCAGCATAAATAAATAAGTAAGTAAGTAAGTAAGGTTCTAATCCTTTCAAGCATGTCATATGTTAGCTGGTTTTACTTCTGTGCAATCATGGGCTTGTTTCACCATAAGTGCAGTTCTCCAGCAAATGTATATTTGCTGTATATAATGTATATAAATGTATATAAATGTATATTCAGTCAACATTTATTTATTTGTTTAAATTTATTGGCCCCTCAGTTCCAGTGGACTCTGGGTGGTGTACAAAACTAGGGAAAACATAGAAACAGCTAAAAGCATTGAACCACACAGATAGCCCAGACTAAAATAATCTAACGGACAGCAAAAACAGTAAAACAAAACAGGGGCCACTGAACAAATAATAAACATCAACCTCAGGCCTAGGACAAAAGCCAGGTTTTCAAAGCTTTCCAGAACCCCAGGAGAGAGGGCACCATCCTTATCTCTGCAGGGATGCTGTTCCAGAGGGTGGGGGCTGCAACAGAGAAGGCATGCTTCCTAGGTCCCACAAGATGGCAATGTTTAATAGAGAGGACCTAGAGCATAGTCACTCTGTTGGAACATACTGGGTGGGCAGAAACTATAGGAAATAAGTGACCTCTCATTTATCCAGGCCTTATGCCATACAGGGGCTTATAGGTAATACCAGCACCTCGAATTATACTTGGAAGCCAAGTGGCAGCCAATGCAGCTTGTGTAGCAGTGGTGACACATGGACAAGGTGCCTCTTGTCAGTGGTGACAAGAGGCACCTGTTACTGCTCATACTGCTGCATTTTGAACCAGCTGTAGCTTCCGTGTGGCCTTCAAAGTGCATGTACAGCACATTGCAATAATCCAATCAGGAGGTCACCAGGGCATGAATGACTGTCTGAAAGGCCTCCTGATTGAGGAAAGGGTGCAACTGGCACACAAGATGAACCTGTGCAAAGGTCTTCCTGGCCACAATTGCCACCTGTTCTTCAAGCAGTAGCTATGAGTCCAGAAGGACCAAGTTGTGCACCAGTCTTGACAGGGGAAGTGTAGCCCCATCCAAGACTAAAGTTGGTTTCATCCCCGACCCAGGGGGTCCAAACAGCCACAGCCACTCAGTCTTGTTAGGATTGAGCCAGTCTGTTCTGCCCCATCCAGACCCGAACAGTCTCCAGGCATTGGGTCAATACATTGACAGTTTCACCTATTCCACTAAGGGTGCAGCTGTAAAGTTGGGTATTATCAGCATACTGATGATACCTGTTGTGGCCAAAACCTGGCTCGCCTAAAGCAACCAAATCACTTTGAAGATACAGCATAATTTTATTTCCATGCATACAAGCAATAATACAGTATATACGGGACCCGCAGCAAAGCTTTGATACTTTGGTGAGCGGCCATGAGCAAAAGCAGAACCAGGGCTTATATACCTTTGGCCCGCTACATTACAAGGCAAAGAAAGGCAAAGGCAAACAAAGAAAAAGGCAGACACAGTGGAAATTACAGTGTGATGTTGGAATATTTTAGATAAACCCATCCGTGTGACATTATTATTTATTCCTTCCTACTAGGTCAGCATGCTAGCCATATTATCTGTGAGATATGGTCAGTGAATAGAAACAATTTGGTTTACTGGGCCACAGGTTCCTGACTGAGTCTTCTCTATGTCACCACTCAGGGTCAGTTCAGTTTGCTATGAATGTTTTCTTACAAGGGCATTTTCAGCAGTTCATATGTATGGGGGGCATCTCATAGTTTTGGTAGCGAATGCAGTTTACGTGTGTATGGGGGGGTACTTTTACCACCACATACTGGACCCTGAACTGGCAGATGACCTCACCCAATGGTTTCATGTAGATGTTAAACAGGAGAGGAGAATGTCAACCCCTAAGGCAACCCACACAAGAGGGGCTGCAGATGCGATCTCTACCCTTGTTAACACCAACTGGAACCGACTACTGAGGAAGGAGGTGAACCACTGGAGCATAGTGCTATTTAAAGAGAAATCTAGTCTTATAGTGAAATGCTCAGATGGCAGCTTCACCACTGGAAAAAACAATATATAGCTACATGTATGTTAACACACTAAAACAGTTACAGTATATTCATTATTGATATCTCCCTCTATCATCATCCAGCAATGCAGAATGCTATACTATCAAACTGCATTCAAATGAATCATAAAATGTACAGAACAATCAATGCTATAACCAACTTTATATCAGTGGACTTCTGTACTGTAATGGGACTTCCTATCATTCTTCTATCTTTTTTATACACACACACACACACACACCATCTATGTCTCTTTTTGTATAATTTCCAAACTTCTGGAGTAAATTTCCAGTACCTGCTAGTAACGTGCTCTCAATACCACACTGACTGCTGTAGTTCTTCCCATAAAAAAGGAACAGTGGATAAGAAGTCCTAGGTAGCGTGCACTATGTTTTAGAATGGATCGACCCACAAATTCATGCTGTAGTCAACAGATGATCAGCTAATGACCCAGATCTACCAGAAATCCCAAGTTTCCTTTGAAACTGTAGCTTGTAGGACCTGGACTTATGGTGAGCACCATGGTGAGCCAGACGTCCCTGCCAAAGCAGGACAGCATTTACAGCTGAGATCAGCAGCTGGATGCTGGATCCTGGCCGGTGAAATCTCTCTGGAGAAAGGAGAGATTGCGAGATAGCCCACACACATTCCAGACAGCCGCTTCTCATGAGTAGACCACAGGAACTGAGGTTTTGCAGTCGGCTTATGAGTCAAACAGCTGGGAGTTGAGGGATACCATCTTAGCTCACAGTTGTAATGCAGCCTTTTATAGATAAAAACCTCAACTGAGCCTCATTTCTTAATTACCATTGGAACGATTTTTTATTGCTTTAGAAATATTAAGACCCTTCAGAGTGGCAAGTTTTTATTGCATTCACTAGGTGAGTCTCCTTCTCCTTAGAGAAAGAAGGTATAAATATGATTTTAAGGACTCTGAAAAATATTATTTTTTGGAATAAATGGCAAAAAGGTGTTTAGTGTGTTGATTTTGGAAAGTTAAAAATGGACTAAGGGTCCAGATGGATTTGGTATAAAAATTTGAAATTAATTATAAAAATCCTTCCTGTTGGAAACTGTGGTTGTTTGGGTTCTTTGGAAAAAAAAAAACATGATAGGATGGAACTTTGAAGGTTAGACACTAGAGGGAACTAGAAGAAAATAAAGATTACATTTAAAGGAGAAAAATACTTAAATTTGACTTGTTAACAAAGAATGGAGCAAAAAACCTTAACAGGGAATGTTTTGAAGGATATTGTTGAACAATGGACTCAGAAATTATTTTAAGAATGTCTGAAACCGTAGATAAATGGTGTGTTAATGATGTCACAGAAGAAGCACAAGTTATACCAGATAAGACTGATGTGGATTTAAATATGACAAGTTACAAGAACGACATGGAAAAGGGTAATATACTGGACATAGAAATGAAACTGGTTGATATCTTAATACTTAAAGGGGACATACAAGTATCAAACCAGAAGAGTGATTTGGATAACATTTTCTTACTGGATGTATAAAAAGGATCTGTTAAAGTCTTGAAGGATTTGCTAAGAAGGGACCAAAAGAAAAAGAAAAAAAGAAATCAAGTTCTAAGAGATTATTTGAAGGGATTAAAAACCAAGATTGTTAAAAGTACAGGAAAGAAATATAGGGTTGGCTTATTTGTAGTTATTTCTGGTAATCCTTAATAGACTTTTGCTGATAAGGAATGAATGATGAGGCTTTTTTTTTAGATCTTTTTATCCCACATTTATTATTTTTTATAAATAACTCAAGGTGGTGAACATACCTAATACTCTTTCCTCCTCCTATTTTCCCTACAACAACAACTCTGTGAGGTGAGCTGGATTGAGAGACAGTGACTGGCCCAAAGGCACCCAGTCAGCTTTCATGCCTAAGGTAGGACTAGAACTCAAGAGTGTCCTGGTTTCTAGCCTGGTGCCTTAACCACTAGACCAACCTGGCTCTCTTTTGGATTTTGTTTATAGTTAAGAGATGAGATATGGGATGAAGAGAGTATTCGTTGTATTTTAAGAGATGGTGATAAATTACTAAAATTGCTTATACTTCTTGTGATGAAGGGGGAAGTTACTTCTTTATATACTTTTTCCCCTTTTTTCCTTTTCTACACTTTTTATTCTTATATTTTTTGTAGTTTATATTAGTTTTTCTTTTTCCTAAGTTTAATCTTTAATAAAAAATATTACAAAAAGAAAGAAAGAAGCTGTAGCTTGTAGGACCAAAGTAACTGTTGCTTGCTGTTCACACATATAGCAATCCGTCATAGTGCTTCCTCTTAGGAATTAAACACCCTCCTCTCATAGCTCTGAATTCTTCTTTTCTCATTTAACATAAACATCCTAATTGCACATATAAATATTTGTTCATTATTCATGAGACAGCAAAAGAATCTGT